GTGTTTCTCTATCTGGCACAATGATGTAACAAGCAAAGCAGCCCTGGGCTGAGTCCCCAGCATAAGCCACTTCTGGTGATTTTTGAAAGCACTGCAGTGTCTGCCTGATTCTCCCCTCAAGGGATGGTTATATCAGAAGTTGGGGGTGGGGGGCGGTGAGTACCAGGAGCTTTTCCTTCATGAGGTGTTTTCCCTTAAGACCCAGGAAGTTCAAAGTCTTATGGTTAATAAATCAGAAACTGCCTGGGGCCTCATTTGCCAGCGCAAAACTGTCTTTTCATTCATAACTTTAAGTTACACCACGTTCAGTGTCTGCACGGTGGCCTTTGACTGTGTTGTGTTTCCTAGAGAGAGAAGGTGTCTGTAGAAGGAGGCCCCTACATGCCCTGTAGACCTCTCCACTCACCACTTTTACCCCATCCTCCAATCAAAAACAGACCCGAAGAACAGCCTCCTCCCCACCTCGCTCCCAGAACAGCAAATGCCTGTTAATTCCCGCCCCCTCCCCCAGATCCGGGAGCTCCGGCATGAGAACGTGGCCCTCTACCTGGGGCTCTTCCTGGCGGGGGGAGCTGGCGGCGCCGCGGCCCCCGGGGAAGGGATGCTGGCTGTGGTCTCAGAGCACTGTGCCCGCGGCTCCCTCCAAGACCTCCTCGCTCAGAGAGACATAAAGCTGGACTGGATGTTCAAGTCCTCCCTCCTACTGGACCTCATCAAGGTGTGCGTGTCGGGGACCGGGTGGGCTGCGGCGGGGAGGAGCCGGCGGGGGAACCGTGTGGGCTGAGGCTGCCCCCGACGCCACTCCTTCCAGGGAATAAGGTATCTGCACCATCGAGGCGTGGCCCACGGACGGCTGAAGTCACGGAACTGCGTGGTGGACGGGAGGTTCGTGCTTAAAGTCACCGACCACGGTCATGGGCGACTGCTGGAAGCGCAGAGGGTGTTACCGGAGCCTCCCAGCGCGGAGGGTAGGATTCCCCGGCTGCCTCCCGGGCGGCCGAGCAGCCCCCGCATCCCCGTTGTTTCAAGGCCCTCTCCTTTCCTCCTTCCCTCGCACTCTGTCCATCCCACACCCACCGGACGGGACTCCGGCCGCGGAGGAGGTCTTGTGACCTCTGAGATGAAGGGGGTCTGGCTCCATGACTGGGGAGGCGGGGAGTCGTTAGGGGGCGGGACTTGTGCCTGAGGGGCGGGGCTCCTGCCCTTGCAGGGGGGTCTGCTTCTAGTGGGTCTTTGCCTAAGGCCGGGGCTTGTGCCCAAGGGACCTAGTCTGCTCTCGGCACCGCTTTGTCTAAAGGGCGGGTCCTCTTTGTGAGGGCCCGGCTTTCTGAGACCTGCTCTGGGTTTCTGGTAGTTTCTCCTGGGGATCACTGCGGGCAGTAGGGCCAGACTGAGGCTGGGGAGTTGAGCGGGTGCGAGCCTGGGCTTTCGGGTGGGGGGGGGGGGTGTCTGTCCCTAGCGCCTGTATGGCCCTCCGCGTGCCCACGCCCCCTTCCCCGACCCCAGACCAGCTATGGACAGCCCCGGAGCTGCTTCGGGACCCGGCCCTGGAGCGCCGGGGAACGCTGGCCGGCGACGTCTTCAGTCTGGGCATCATCATGCAAGAGGTCGTGTGCCGCAGCGCCCCTTACGCCATGCTGGAGCTGACTCCCGAGGGTACGGCCGCCCTCGCCTGGCCTTTGGACTAGAAAGACACCCTGCTGTTAGGCAGAGACCCAGCGTCGCTCGGTGCTGAGACTTACTTATGTGGGACTCCCTAGAGCTGAGTTCTGAAGGGTCAGGGCAGTGGAGAGCCAAGCATCAGGATGGGAGGGGGCGGCCTTTCAGCACCCAGACGTCAGTGGTTTCCTCTGTCCCGACCCTGGACCCAGCCTGCTGCCCCAACGGTGGTAGCAAGCTCCTCTCTGCTTCTTAGCGACCCCAGGGGGGCAGCACGATAGGGGGAAGGGGGAAACAGAGCAGATGGATCTGGTTCAGATCTATATTATCATGTATAGGATACAGCATGCTACTTGATCACTCCAACCCTGACTTGTCTTATGTGCAATAAATGTCAGTCTCTTTGCCTGGCCCCTCCTACTGCCCCCTGGCCCCCAGGGTTCAGGGTCCTGTTGCTCCCAGCAACACCTCCCACACCTACACTTCCCCACCTACAGAAGCTCCCCCTTCCAGCCCCCTCCTCTTGAGCTTCAACCATCAGGCCAGAGTCAGAGGTGGCTTCTGTTCTGGCACACCCCCTCTCTTGTTCCCTTCATGCCTCCAGAAGTGGTGAAGAGGGTACAAAGCCCCCCTCCGCTGTGTCGGCCCTCGGTGTCCATGGACCAGGCGCCCATGGAGTGCATCCAGCTGATGAAACAATGCTGGGCAGAGCAGCCGGAACTTCGGCCCTCCATGGACCGCACCTTCGACCTGGTCAGGGGCTGGGCTGGGCAAGGACTGGGCTGGCCGTTTGCCAACAACTTGGGGTGGGGGAGGGGAGGCTGCAGGAAGGCAAGCTGGCAGGGTCTCTGACCTTCCAGTCTACTTCCTAAGGGGTAGTCTGAGGATTAAGGGTTTGGTGGGGACAGAATTAGAATGGGGGCTGTGGAGGCCTTTGGAGTGCGAGATGGAGCTCTGGGTGGGAGAAATATTTAATTCAATTCAAATAACATTGATTGAGTATGTGTTTGGCCTAGTGAGGGAGAAAGACCCTTGGCCTGGGAGTCCAAAGACTGGGCTGGTTCCAGAGCCTTGTCAGTTGCTAACAGAACAGGTGACCTCCTAATAATGTGTGAAAACACAGTGCCCAGCACGGGGCAGCTCGGGCTTGATGAGTATAGATGAAAGGGGGTGGGGGCAGAGGATCAGGCATAATACAGCCCCATGAGAGGGGCGTGGCAGGCCAGGTCCTCAGCAGCCCCACCAGCTTCCTCCTACTACTAGTTCAAGAGCATCAACAAGGGCCGAAAGATGAACATCATTGACTCGATGCTGCGGATGCTGGAGCAGTACTCCAGCAACCTGGAGGACCTGATCCGGGAGCGCACCGAGGAGCTGGAGCTGGAAAAGCAGAAGACAGACCGGCTGCTCACACAGATGCTGCCTCCGTGGGTGCCTGTGGGGAGAGGTGGGTGGGGAGGACAGCTGGCATCCAGCCAGACTGGGGTGGCCTCCAGGTAAGCTCCCCCAGCTGCCATCCGCAGGTCCGTGGCTGAGGCGCTGAAGATGGGGACACCCGTGGAGCCCGAGTATTTCGAGGAGGTGACACTATACTTCAGTGACATCGTGGGTTTCACCACCATCTCAGCCATGAGCGAGCCCATCGAAGTGGTGGACCTGCTCAATGACCTCTACACACTCTTTGACGCCATCATCGGCTCCCATGACGTCTACAAGGTGGGGTGTGTAGGGGGCAAGCCCTCCTCCATCTTCTCCGGCCCCCGCGCCCCTGTCCGAGGTCACCAGCGCAATCCTCTTTCCCAGCCCTCCTGTCCCTTTCCTCCTCTGCCGGCCCCCAGCTCAGTCCCCCAGCTGGAAGGCTCCCCAGGATCTCTGCACTCACCCCAGTTTAGGCCTCCCGACAAGGGACATTGGCATTGGCGGGGTGCTCAGTGCTGAATTCTCTCCTCAGGTGGAGACAATCGGGGATGCCTATATGGTGGCCTCAGGGCTGCCCCAACGGAACGGGCAGCGGCACGCAGCAGAGATCGCCAACATGGCTCTGGACATCCTCAGTGCCGTGGGCACCTTCCGCATGCGGCACATGCCCGAGGTGCCCGTGCGCATCCGCATCGGCCTGCACTCGGGTAACTCCGCGCCTTCCCGGGCTCTCCAGCCCATCTCCCTCGTTAGGGCCGGGCTCCAGGTTTCCTAGATAGGAGGCAAACTCGTGGAGTGGGTGGGGGCGGAGACTTGTCTTGAAGCCACCTTTTCACAGCAGGCACCGCATTGTAATTGGGAGGGTACGCTTGAGAGGGTTTCCTTGGGAAGCCAGTGGAGATTATGGGGTGCTAAAGGCCCCCCGAGCCCCAGGTGCCACCCAGCCGCCAGCAGGCCAGCTTCAGCGCGGGCCAGCCAGCCCGCCGACGCTGTGCGTCTCCACAGGCCCGTGCGTGGCGGGCGTGGTGGGCCTCACCATGCCGCGGTACTGCCTGTTTGGGGACACGGTCAACACCGCCTCGCGCATGGAGTCTACCGGGCTGCGTGAGTGTGACGGGGCGGGAGGGGCGGGGAGGGGGCGCGGGAGGGGTGTCCTGAGCTCACGGTGTCCTCTGAGCTCACGGTGTCCCCTGCCGTCCCAGCTTACCGCATCCACGTGAACCGGAGCACCGTGGAGATTCTCTGCGCCCTAGACGAGGGCTTCCAGACCGAGGTGCGGGGTCGCACGGAGCTGAAGGTGAGGCCGGGCTGGAAGACGCAACTCGCCACTCCCGGTTCCACTGAGACCTCGAGATCCACCGGCCCTCACCTCAGTCCGCCTGAGTCCTCCCCTCCCCCGTGTCTCCCCAGGGCAAGGGCTGCGAGGAAACGTACTGGCTGGTGGGCAGACGCGGATTCGACAAGCCCATCCCCAAACCGCCTGACCTGCAACCAGGGTGAGGATCCAGCCTTCGCGCGCCATGACCGAGTTGGTCCCCCCATGCCCTCCCTCCCCTCCTGCCCTGCACCGGACCCCGCCCAAGCGGGGTGACCTGGGCCTCACCCTCCTACTGCCTATTCTCCCTCCTTGAGGCCGCCCCTCCCTTCGCCACAGGGCCAGCAACCACGGCATCAGCTTGCAGAGTATCCCGCCTGAGCGTCGCCGGAAGCTGGAGAAGGCGAGGCCGGGCCAGTTTTCCGGAAAGTGAGGCTGGGCCTGGGACAAGGTACTGCCCCCTTGGCTCCCATGCCCCACAGACCCCGGGGGCTACACACATGCTTCCTGGAGGACGGGCACCTCTTCCCCAGCCTGAGGACCTAGCCCTGCCTGCCTGCAGAATGTCCCACTCAAGCCAGGTGTCCCCGACCTTCTCTGACTTGGTGAGCCCAGGCTGGTTCCTAAACCCAGGGATTTCCCAGCCACGGGGATCCTGGTTCGGTAGGTCCGGAGTGGGCCAGGAATCCAGACTCGGGAATGACTCTCCCTACTGAGGTGAACCCCCATGACCCCTTTCCATGATTTCCCTCTGAAACACTCCTCTTTTCCTCAGGATTATTCCGGAAGGTCCTTTTCCTGAAAGTTGCTGCTGTAGGTGAACAAAAGTCTGGCTAATACCAGTGGCTTCCGTCCAGCTCTGCCTCAAAGGATTCTGAGCCTTTGCAAGAGCTGGTTGCAAACCAGCTGTGTGACCCTGGGAAAGTCTCATGCACTCTCTGGGCTTGGTTTCCCCTCCGTGGTGAAATGAAGAGTGGCCTACCTAGGGGGTTTCCATACCCTCCGGGCCTGACAGCTGGCCTTCAGAATGGTTGGCCTTGGGGTACAGGGCACTGGGCACGTGGCGTCCAGCCCCAGTGACCCTGAGCCCATCAGAAAGGCCCCAGGAAGAAGGATCTGGGATTGGATGTCCCAACCCCAGAGGAGGTGGAGACCGCCTATTCCACCAGAGCAGGGGTGTCGTGTGGCCTGAGGATTTGAGGGCTTCTGTTCAGCCTCGAGCATCCTTCCCTTCTCCGTCCCCCGCCAGTCAGAAACTGGCTCCTTCTTCTGTGGCATAACCACATACTTTGCCCAAGTGCAGAGAAAAGCTTGTTTCAAAGCTTTGGGGAAACGAAGGTAAACAAACCCCACGAAACCTCTCCTAACCAGAACACCCAGGAATAGTAGTATTCTCTGTTTAACTGGGCGCCACTGAGCAGGCAGTTGAACAGAAAATCCTCCCAGCTTAGATCTTTGCGACAAGTATTAACCCCTCCCATCCCAGTCAGTCCCCAGGTAAAGCTTCTTTTGTGGAACTCTGATGTCCCAGAGCCTGAGCCTTGGCATTCTGGACTCTGGGTGGCCTTCGCCATTGCTGCAGAACCTGGCAGAAGTTAGCAGCAGCTGTAGCCACCCAGGCTGTCACTAGGTAGTGAGCCTCCAGTCCCTGGAGATGTGCAAGCAGAACTGGAGACCTCTTTGAGCAGGGAGAGAACAGTCAGAGGGACTTCCTAGGCGGAAGGATGAACTAAATCCTCACCACACAGTGTGGTAGGTAGGCCAGCAGCAGCGACATTGCCTGGGAGCTTGTTAGCAATGCAGAATCTCAGGCCCAGGCGTATTGAAACAGAATCTACATCCTAACAAAGTTCCTTCAGAGTATTTATATGCACATTAAAGTTTCTGAATCATAGAACTAAAGGATCCTAGGATCCCTAAAATCTCAGAACTGCTAAGATTTCATAAAAACCAGCCTAGAAACTAGCCCTGAGACTTGTTTGATCAATGAAATGGTTTTGTTTTTGTTTTGAGCTAACATTTAGAAATCAAGAGATACCGCATTGTAAAAATGGTTGCCAAATTTCCCTCTTCTCTGAAATCAAAAGCCCCACACACGGGCAATTGCTGACTTCCTGCTGGAGCTGAAGAGCAGCCATCCCCTCGTCCCGTCTCTCCAGGGTTTCGCTTTTCTGTTCTCACCGTGCCCACCACTCCCCGTGGACTCCAAGACACCAAGATTTTCTGAACATCTCTTACGTACCTGTCCAGAGCCTGTAGACGTTAGACCTCAGGTCTCTGGAGTAGCTGATGTTAGGATTACAGGCACTGCTGGAGATTGCTTTGCCTGACTCGTAAAATCCACGAGTTCAATGGTCTGCCCCTCCTTCCTAAAGGCAGAGGAAGAACAGACAAGATACCTAAAATCCAGCACTTGTAGGTTCTGGTTACTTAAGGTGGTGCTGCTATAGCGAGCAATATAGTATAATTTAAAGAACATTTTTAACCGAGTTCAGAGATGATGAATTAAAGATTTTTTTAAAACCCTGATGCACACACACACAAAATATTTTTTTAATTATGTACATTCTTAAACATCTCTCTTCAGATCTTCTCTGTACTTAGGCCCCGGGAATCAAGGGCAGGCTCGGAGCTTTGGGAAAGAATTGGCCTGGGATTAGGTGCAGGAGGATTAGTGTGGACAGGCTGGGGCAAGGCACCCCCAGAGGGGGAGGAGTATGACCTGGGGCCCAAACCCAGTTTGGGGCAGAGGCGGGGCGGGCAGGGCTGAGCGGATCCCTTCCCACCCTCAACTCAGCCTTGTTCCTGGGGCTCAGTCTCAAAGGCGAGTGACAGGGGGGAGGAGCTGGTAAAGGAGAGGCCTGTCCTCCTCCCCAGCCAGGAGAACGCAGGACCACCCGCCCCAGAGCTCAGAGAGCTGGTGGGAGAACAGGAGGGAAACAGCTAAGCCCCAGTCTCCGCTCTCTGCCGGGCAGTTTCTCCTTGCCTTTCTCCTCCATTTCCGTGAAACCTTTTCCCCTGGGCCCAGTCAGTCTCCTAGAGCCCAGCTGCCCTCAGACCCAAGTCCTCTCCACCTGGTCACCCCTCTTGTTCCGGGGACCCGGGCAATTCCCAGCCCAGAGAGCACCCAGCTTGGCCACTAGGCACCCCTCACCCTCAGACGTGTTTACACTACCTGGGCCAGGAGCCCACGCTCGGGGTGGCCTTGCCTTCGGGACGGCTCTGTCGCCAGGAGCAGCGCTGGCCGAAGAAGGGACCTCCCGCAGCTCTGCTGCTGCTTCCATCCCATAGCCGGGACGCCGCACCCTGACCCAGGGCTCACCTGGCGCCTTTGTCTGTGCTGCTCCTCAGGGTCGGGGCCCTACTCCCCATCCCCACCTGCAGTGGACCCCCGACACCCCCCTTTGGGGGATCTGTGACACTGCGTTGTGGGACCGCGTTCACCGAGATCTTCTGGACTGTGCACTGTGGACACCAGGCCATGTGCCGTGGTGCTGGGTCCTGGCAGGGTGGGGGCTGGAATAAAGGTGTGCTTTCTTCCATTCCACGGTGTGTGGTCCTTTTGGCCTGGGTGGCCCGAACACCCCCATCCCTGGAGTGCTCGAACCTGGCATTGCCATGGAGGGCTTCAGATAAGGGGTGAACCTTAGAGATGACCTAGGCAGGGGGAGATGAACTGGGGTCAGCAACCCCCCTCCCAGAAACCCCTCTGCTCAGGGGATCTGCTCTGAGGGAACCAAGCAGGGAAGCTACAGGCCTTTCAGGCTTCTAGAAAAGACCAGGGTCTCTGAGGCTCTGGAAATGGGTGGTGTGGCCTCATCCCTTGGTCATAGGCAGGAGAGAGGAAGGAAGAGAAGGGCAGAGCTTGTCTACGGCCAGGACCCAGGAACCATGGAAGCCAGAGTCCAATTCTGAGGGAAGGGGGCCCCCAAATGGGGAAGTTGAGGTCCACTGATCTCTGGACAAGACCTCACCAAAACCCACACTCTACCTCCGACCCTTCCAGAGCCTACCACTGGCACATTAGAACAGGAGAGAACATCCCAAAGCCACCCATGGGTGACCAGCCCATTGGTCATCTATTTTCTTGGAGCCCAGCTATCCCGGCCCCAGGCTCAATGTTTCTGACATGATGACTCGTGACGGACGTCGGGTGTTCTGCCTTCCTAGCAACCGTCTGCTCCATGTTGGGCAACCATCCCTGCCCCACTCTCAGTCCCTGCGGAACTGACCCCAGACCTCCCTCCAGTCCTGCCCAATCGCTCCATCCCTCTGGCTACAGGGCTTGCTTCCAGGACAGGCAGGTGACCCAGTCGAAGCAAACAAGGCTTCGTGTTGAGACATTGCTAGAAGCCAAGGGCAGAAGTTGCATCTCTTCTCTGGGGTTTTGCTGAGAGGATGTGACTCTGAGGTTTCGCCACCACAAAGAAGGAGCAGAACCGACAGATGGGCAGTGACTAAGTCCTGCTGCCACTTGTTTGAGCCTCTACCCTTCACTAGGCTTAACCAGTTCCTGCTAGTCCAGTACGATGGGATAGCAAGTTGTTTTCTTTGCGTAAGCCAGATTGAATCAGGTGTTCTGTTCTTTGCAGTCAAAAGTGTCTCAAAAGGATTGTGGGAAGCAGTGGGGGTTGGACTGGTTTAAGAGGAAAGAAAAGGAGATAAACACTGAATTTAGAGGGAGAAGGGAGTGAAGGATGAATGACAAGAGATGATGTCTCTCTAAGCCTCAACTCCACCGAGAGTCAGCCCGGGCCCTTCCCTGCAGTATGACTGTTCCTGAAATTCCGTTTACGGGGGAACCTAACCCAGGCAGAGGTTAGGACCTTGTGAGAGAAAAGGCGCACAGCCTGGTAGCCTTGTCGGGACTCTCGTGCTTACTCAGCATTTAGAAGGTGGAGGAATCTTTCAGGTCCTGCCAAGGAGAGTGAAGTGAGGTCTCTAAGATCAGCGCATCTTGCTTGTCAACATCTTCGCGAGTTAGCGACTAGACTTTGACAAGGAGATTAGGGTGGGACAGGCGGCTTGCCCTGCTCCCAGAGGGGGAAGGGAGCAGAGAAATTGGGGAGGACAACTGTGATGTCTGGGAAACCCAGGTTCCCACAGAGAGGAGCTTGTTGTCACAGTCTAGAGACTCGCCCATCCAAACTAAAGCCATTTTGTCACCTCCACCAGGGACATTGCACTTTACCACCCACCCCTGAGTCTGGGTCTCTGGCCCTGGACCCAGAGAAGGGCATGCCACACTGGCACTTACCCATTCTGTCACAGGGAACATCGATCCCATCACCTAAAAAGCACGTCCCCATATACGACCCCTAATCCTCACACAACCCATTTCACACACATGGAAACTGAGGCTCCCAGTGGTGAAAAGCCTTGTCAATCACCGCAGTTCCAGCAAATCTTGGGATCAGGAAGCACACCCAGGAGTTCAGGCTCTGGGCCTCTGGGTGCCTTTCAGTGATGCTCTGGAGATGTTTCTCTCACAGGCAGCCCTGCTTTGTGACCCCTTTTTTTTCTTTTCTGCAAGAGCACAACTTAAACTCCAAGCCAATGTCTGTGTAATCAGATTCTTAAAGACTTTTGACTTGGTGGGATATGAGCATGAACACATTTTACATTTCTCCAACCAGTACCTTCAAACGTCCAGTCCAGTTGAGAACTCCCATTTCCTAATCTGCTCTGAAAGTCTGTTCCTCACCACGCCGGTCAGGGCCCTGGTGGGGAGCGGGGTGGTGTAGTGGGGGAGGAGGGAAGGAGCATCAGGAGAGGAGGGACATAGGGGCATCATTTGATCCTGGGACCCCCACCCCCTCATTCTTCAACGGAGGAATACAGCGGAAGCTTAACTGGTTGCCGGGTCAGGAAAATTCCCCTGGTCTCTCTTTGGCTCAGTGGCTGCTAGTGCTGGCTGGGGATGCCATCCTCTCTACCTGTGCAGAGGTGATTTCACTGCAAAGCTGATGAAGGCAAAACTTCACAATCTCTCACCTGCACAAGTCCCTTCCAAGCCTCACTACCCAATTTTGTATTCTTTTTCTTAAAGAGGGCCTTCAAAGTTGGAAAAGCTTGGGAATTCCCTGGTGGTCCAGTGGTTAGGACTCTGTGCTTTCACTGCCGGGTGCCCAGGTTCGATCCCTGGTCGGGGAACTAAGATCCCGCAAGCCGCGCAGCCCGGCCAAAAACAAACAAACAAACAAAAAAAGGTTGGATGAGCTGAGGGTCCCCACAACATTTGGATCCATCCTGGGTATGGTCCCCTGGGGGATGGGGAGCAGCTTCCCCAGGCTTCTTCATCACTGAAGGCAGAAAGCAGCAGCTGGGACTTCTCTGGCGGCCCAGTGGTTAAGACTTCGCCTTCTAATGCAGGGGATGCAGGTTCGATCCCTGGTCGGGGACATAAGATCCCACATGCCTTGGCCAAAAAACCGAAACATAAAACAGAAGCAATGCTGTAACAAATTCAATAAAGATGAGGCTACCTTTGTGGCGCAGTGGTTAAGAATCTGCCTGCCAGTGCAGGGGACACGGGTTCGAGCCCTGGTCCGGGAAGATCCCACATGCCACAGAGCAACTAAGCCTGTGCGCCACAACTACTGAGCCCGCAAGCCACAACCACTGAAGCCCACGCGCCTAGAGCCCGTGCTCCGCAACAAGAGAAGCCACTGCAATGAGAAGCTGGTGCACCTCAACGAAGAGTAGCCCCTGCTCACCGCAACTAGAGAAAGCCCGCGCGCAGCAACGAAGACCCAACGCAGCCAAAAATAAATAAATAAATACATTAAAAAAGAGAGAGAGAGAGTTTTAGTGTAGTTTATCATGCAGCAATGGATAACCAGAACAAGCTCTCCATTTCAGAAGACCTCTAAACCTTGGCTGAGAGTTTTGAAAAACTCAGGTCAGCACTGACAGTTGGTTTCTGAGAGGGACTTCTCCCAGAAAAGGTAGAATAAACATGTTTTTTCTTTTTTTTTTTGCCTATTTCTTCCCACATCTGAAATTCCTTTGGGGATCCACCCATCTCCACCCTCAATCCATATAGTTTGTATGGGGCTAATTCCAGCCCCAGCTTCAGAGTCTGTGACCAAGGCCAGTTCAGTGAGGGTCAGCCCCAGAACATTTGCAGTAGGAGGGTGACATCGTCTTTGTGCTAGGGTTGCTAAGCTGGAAGGATAGAAGCCCAGAGCTGCTGGTCATCATTTCTGCCACCACTTGGGAAGAGTCTGCCTGAGAATGAGTTAACACAGTTCAACACACAAGAAAGCAGAAATGAAATATTTGAGGAAGCACAATTCCTGACACATGTTCTGGGCACCTGAATCCATCCAGGCCTGAAGCCATTACTCCTGAATTTTCCAGTTACATAAACCAATATGTTCCCATATTTTATCAGGCTGGTTTGAGTTTGGATTATCCTGTTTGTTCATCTCTGCCTATTAAAATTGTATCAGTTTTTCATCACTAGTTTAAAACTCACCTCCTACGAGAAGCTTTCCTTGAATTTTTTAGGGGATGTTTATTGTTTGGGGTTTTCTATTGCCCAGAAAAGACCTTTCCACATACTTCCGAAAAATCCCCACAGCCCTCACAGCTCATCAGCATCACCAACGTGGCTACAATGGACACAGCCACCCTGATATCTTTTTTTTTTTGCGGTACGCGGGCCTCTCACTGTTATCTCTCCCGTTGCGGAGCACAGGCTCCGGACGCGCAGGTTCAGTGGCCGTGGCTCACGGGCCCAGCCGCCCTGCGGCATGTGGGATCCTCCCGGACCGGGGCACGAACCCGTGTCCCCTGCATCGGCAGGCGGACTCTCAAACACTGCGCCACCAGGGAAGCCCCTATGTTATGTGTATTTTACCACAATGTATAAAATGGATGATCTATAAAATCCAAACATTTTACCCAGAAACAATGGGCAAAATTGGGTATATTTTTAGACAAACAACGGGTATATTTTCTATAGCCACATGATTTCCTCTCTCTGAGGATCCAAATTACGATTTCTTTGAAGTCTTCTGTTCCCTGAATTATCTGCCCCTTCAGTTTTGTTTTTTGTCCTTGTCTTTTAGATGGAAGCCTTCCTTGAAGATCGGGTGATCCTTGGCCATTCATTCATTTTTAAGAATGAGGCAAGAAAAACTGATTGGAAACTGTGTGAACAGGACTTATCAACTGGCGGGCTTAATTGGCACAGCCATTTCATTGGAGAACCCCACATAACACTTGGGCTGGTCCGTTCCTCTAGAGAGACACCTTCCAGTCTTACCAGAGGGTGAGGGTTGAGGCGGGGCGGGGTGGGGGTACTTGACTGCCAACATACTTGGGGCCATCCAGGGAATGGGGCCAGAGCCCCCACCGTCATCTCATCTTCCAATTTTTTTTTAAATAAATTTATTTATTTATCTTTGGCTGCATTGGGTCTTCGTTGCTGTGCATGGGCTTTCTCTCACTGCGGCGAGCAGCGGCTACTCTTCATTGCGGTGGCTTCTCTTGTTGCGGAGCACAGGCTCTAGGCATTCGGGCTTCAGTAGTTGCAGTTCACGGGCTCTAAAGCGCAGGCTCAGTAGCTGTGGTGCATGGGCTTAGTTGCTCAGTATCTGTGGTGCACGGGCTTCTCATTGTGGTGGCTTCTCTTGTTGCGGAACACGGGCTCTAGGCACGCGGGCTTCAGTAGTTGTGGCACGCGGGCTCAGTAGTTGTGGCTCATGGGCTCAGTAGCTGTGGCACACGGGCTTAGTTGCTCCACAGCATGTGGGATCTTCCCGGACCAGGGCACGAATCCGTGTCCCCTGCATTGGCAGGCGGATTCTTAACCACTGCGCCACCAGGGAAGTCCCCACACTTGAGTTTTAACCTGTAAAAGGGTAAAGACTGGGCCTTGCCTGGGGCCACACTCACAGTGCCCAACATAATACCTGGCACAGAGCAGGTTCTCAAAATTATTCATGAATCAAATAAAATAATGAAGGCAGGCCAAGAGGACTTGTAGAAAGTGGGGAGTTGGTCCTGCCTAGGCTTTTAAAGGCTAAGGAGGCAAAGAAACTAAGAGGGGGACAAACGAACCCATGAACTCCACTGGATCCCAACTCCCTCCGGCCCCACCCATCACTGAAATGTTCTGTTTCCCAAACCTCAGGACGCCCAGTCTCTCACGTCTCAGAGCACCCCAACCCCCATCTGCATCCCTCCCTTCCTGCCTCTCAGCCACGCCCTCTCTGCCCCAAGCCAGTGCTTGCTTTTGGGGGTGGTGATGGGCCCCGTGGGAACTCAGAGTTGCCTCCACAAGGCCTGGCCAGGGTGGGGCGGTGCCTGTCCCTGGGGGTGAGCCTCTGGGCTGTGCAGTCGCGTCGGATGAGCAGGAGAGAGCCAGACTCCAGCTGTCACCATGGCTGAGTTCAGGGTGAGGGTATCCACTGGGGAGGCCTTCGGGGCTGGCACGTGGGACAAAATGTCTGTCATCATCGTGGGGACCGAAGGAGAGACCCTGCCACTGCCCCTGGACCATTTCGGCAAAGAGTTCACCGCGGGTGCTGTGAGTGTGGGGTGGGGGTGGTGGGGGGCGGAGGAGGGAGCAGGAGAGACTGTGCTCCAGGATACTAAACATGCCCCCCAGGAGGAGGACTTCGAGGTGACGTGCCCCCAGGACGTGGGCCGGGTGCTGCTGCTGCGCGTGCACAAGACTCCCCCAGCGCTGCCCCGTCCCTTCTGGTCCCTGGCCTCGGACGCCTGGTTCTGCCGCTGGGTCCAGCTCACGCCGCCCTGGGGGGCCCCCCTCCGCTTCCCCTGCTACCAGTGGCTGGAGGACCAGGGGAGCCTGGTGCTGCGGGAGGGGACAGGTGAGGGGGACACAGGAGGGAGGAGGGGGCTGGTGTGTTGGGGGGAAGGGCAAGGGGAGTGGAGAGGTGAGCCGGTGTGGCCGAGGGGGAGGGACAGGGGAGGGGAGCTGGGGAGTTTGGGGGAAGGGGCGGTGGCAGTCTGGTGTGGGAGAAACTACTTATGGGGGCAGGGGATCTGGTAAGGGATGGCTGGAGTGGAGGGGGG